TGGTATTATCACCAGGCGGCGCTGGGTACGGTGGCTGGCATGGTGTGGCTGGGGGAGGCACTGGTATTATCACCAGGCGGCGCTGGGTACGGTGGCTGGCATGGTGTGGCTGGGGGAGGCACTGGTATTATCACCAGGCGGCGCTGGGTACTGTGGCTGGCATGGTGTGGCTGGTGGAGGCACTGTTATTATCACCAGGGCCGCTGGGTACTGTGGCTGGCATGGTGTGGCTGGGGGAGGCACTGGTATTAACAGGCACCGCTGGGTACTGTGGCTGGGGGAGGCACTGGTATTATCACCAGGCACCGCTGGGTACTGTGGCTGGCATGGTGTGGCTGGGGGAGGCACTGGTATTATCAACAGGCACCGCTGGGTACTGTGGCTGGCATGGTGTGGCTGGGGGAGGCACTGGTATTATCACCAGGCGGCGCTGGGTACTGTGGCTGGGGGAGGCACTGGTATTATCACCAGGCACCGCAGGGTACTGTGGCTGGCATGGTGTGGCTGGGGGAGGCACTGGTATTATCACCAGGCGCCGCTGGGTACTGTGGCTGGCATGGTGTGGCTGGGGGAGGCACTGGTATTAACAGGCACCGCTGGGTACTGTGGCTGGCATGGTGTGGCTGGGGGAGGCACTGGTATAACAGGCACCGCTGGGTACTGTGGCTGACATGGTGTGGCTGGGGGAGGCACTGGTGTAACAGGCACGGGCGCTCATCTCTAACAAATTTGTTCTCATTCTTTTCCAATACCTTCAAGACAGGTGAGAGTGGAAGGCACTGCGGCGTACTGTATCCTCAGCGAAGCCTCCGAGAGTGTGCATGGAGGGACGAGTCACAGTGTAATGGAGGGGATGGGGGGGGGAGGGGTCTCTAATGCTGGAGTGGTCCAGGCCCCAAACTGCGGACATGGGGGGGGGGGGGTTGAGGCATCCTCGCTAAGATTATTCTAGTCTATTAAATGTTTGGATTGCAGTAACGAAGGCAATAATAAGATGGAGAGAGACGAGGGATTGGGTAAGAGAGGGGGAAGTGGGAAATGGGGGGGGGGGAGTCTAGGGCACAGCGGGTTACAGGAATATAGGGACTGTGCTGAAGAGTAGAAGAGGGTTTTACCACTATCTCTCCTCTTGAGCACAGGGCTAGGTAGGGTTAGGTGGCGCTCGGTTGGGAAGGTGGTGAAGGGAGTACTGGGAATATAGGAAAAAGAGAGGGACGGATAGGAAAAGGGAGATGTTGGAGTAAGGAAGGAGTGGTGGGGGTGGGGGGGGGGGGGGGAAGAGACCTTGATACCTCTCATAGTATGTATATAATATATATGTAATATTTTAATTCGGACACAGCCCATCCCACAAATATGAAGAGAGATTAACTGCATGTTAGGTCAGTCATGGATTAGGGTCGAGGATGGAGAGAGGCGGCCTCACTGACAGAACACGGGCAGCGGGACTATAGTGATTCTGGTGGAGTAGACGGACACCCGCTCATATTATCATGTTTGGGTTGTGGGTGATGCGCAGTGATGTACAAGTGGAGCCCTGGCAGCCACCCTGGCTGCCACCCCTGGCTGCCACCCCTGGCTGCCACCCCTGGCTGCCACCCCTGGCTGCCACCCCTGGCTGCCACCCCCTGGCTGCCACCCCCTGGCTGCCACCCCCTGGCTGCCACCCCTGGCTGCCACCCCTGGCTGCCACCCCCTGGCTGCCACCCCTGGCTGCCACCCCCTGGCTGCCACCCCCTGGCTGCCACCCCTGGCTGCCACCCCTGGCTGCCACCCCCTGGCTGCCACCCCTGGCTGCCACCCCTGGCTGCCACCCCCTGGCTGCCACCCCCTGGCTGCCACCCCTGGCTGCCACCCCCTGGCTGCCACCCCCTGGCTGCCACCCCCTGGCTGCCACCCCCTGGCTGCCACCCCTGGCTGCCACCCCTGGCTGCCCCCCTGGCTGCCACCCCCTGGCTGCCACCCCCTGGCTGCCACCCCCTGGCTGCCACCCCCTGGCTGCCACCCCCTGGCTGCCACCCCCTGGCTGCCACCCCCTGGCTGCCACCCCTGGCTGCCACCCCTGGCTGCCACCCCTGGCTGCCACCCCTGGCTGCCACCCCTGGCTGCCACCCCCTGGCTGCCACCCCCTGGCTGCCACCCCCTGGCTGCCACCCCCTGGCTGCCACCCCCTGGCTGCCACCCCCTGGCTGCCCCCCTGGCTGCCACCCCTGGCTGCCACCCCTGGCTGCCACCCCTGGCTGCCACCCCTGGCTGCCACCCCCTGGCTGCCACCCCCTGGCTGCCACCCCCTGGCTGCCACCCCCTGGCTGCCACCCCCTGGCTGCCACCCCCTGGCTGCCACCCCCTGGCTGCCACCCCTGGCTGCCACCCCTGGCTGCCACCCCCTGGCTGCCACCCCTGGCTGCCACCCCTGGCTGCCACCCCCTGGCTGCCACCCCTGGCTGCCACCCCCTGGCTGCCACCCCCTGGCTGCCACCCCCTGGCTGCCACCCCCTGGCTGCCACCCCCTGGCTGCCACCCCTGGCTGCCACCCCTGGCTGCCACCCCTGGCTGCCACCCCTGGCTGCCACCCCTGGCTGCCACCCCTGGCTGCACCCCCTGGCTGCCACCCCCTGGCTGCCACCCCCTGGCTGCCACCCCCTGGCTGCCACCCCCTGGCTGCCACCCCCTGGCTGCCACCCCCTGGCTGCCACCCCCTGGCTGCCACCCCCTGGCTGCCACCCCCTGGCTGCCACCCCCTGGCTGCCACCCCCTGGCTGCCACCCCTGGCTGCCACCCCCTGGCTGCCACCCCCTGGCTGCCACCCCTGGCTGCCACCCCCTGGCTGCCACCCCCTGGCTGCCACCCCCTGGCTGCCACCCCCTGGCTGCCACCCCCTGGCTGCCACCCCCTGGCTGCCACCCCTGGCTGCCACCCCTGGCTGCCACCCCTGGCTGCCACCCCCTGGCTGCCACCCCCTGGCTGCCACCCCTGGCTGCCACCCCCTGGCTGCCACCCCCTGGCTGCCACCCCCTGGCTGCCACCCCCTGGCTGCCACCCCCTGGCGGCCACCCCCTGGCGGCCACCCCTGGCTGCCACCCCTGGCTGCCACCCCTGGCGGCCACCCTGGCTGCCACCCCCTGGCGGCCACCCCCTGGCTGCCACCCCTGGCGGCCACCCCTGGCGGCCACCCCTGGCTGCCACCCCTGGAGGCCACCCTGGCTGCCACCCCTGGAGGCCACCCTGGCTGCCACCCCTGGCTGGTAATACCTCCTGACATACCATAAGACCAATCTAATCTCTCACAACCCTCATGCTCAGCTCCCTGCCAAGGTAACTACCCTAGAAAACGCTCACTCTACACACTACAAACATCACTCAGACACTTTACACTGGCGAGTCACCTGATTGAACTACAGGGAGAAAAGACTGTAACCGTAACTGGGCATCCACCGGTTAAGGTCAAACTGTTGTGGATCATCCCTCATCTTGGGCCGTAAGAACGTGGTAATGTTGATACCATTACAAAGCTTACAGTAAATACAAACAAAGTTAAATGTAATCTTGACCCGTCAAATAGATGCCCTTTAAAGTTTCATTAGACTAGAACTCGTAGAAGATTTTGAAGAATGTAGTCGGATGCGAACAGGAACCAGCAAATCCATTTTATTCACAATGAAATGTGTGAAACACCACACGTGTTTGAGGTAACAAAATCCAGTAGTTTGAGAGACATTGGCAGAGCTGAGACACGACTTGCCTACATTTCTCACACTCTCTGGCAGGTGGACGTGTATCGACTTAATATTGTGAAGACATTGAACAATTTAAAGATCAATCTAAACTCACGTTGCATAAAATTCCAAGCCATTTTAATGCAAATGATAAAATGTCAGAAGTTCTTGCACTGCGTAAATGGCCTGCTGTATCTGTATGTTGTTTCTGATAGATAAATGACATGTGCATGATTAAGCTGTGTAGTGTGTAGACTAATAATTATAAACAACTCTTTTATGCAGACGAGGAGTCACAATAACATTGCTGAAATATGTTGACCAAACCACTCACTAGAAAGTGAAGGGACGACGACGTTTCGGTCCGTCCTGGACCATTCCACAATCGACTTGAGAATGGTCCAGGACGGACCGAAACGTCGTCATCCCTTCACTGTGTCTAGTGTGCGGTCTGGTCAACAACTCTTTTATCCTCTTGTAAATGTAACATTATTTTATATATTAACAAAAACATACCTCCAATGTATACAAATGTATATTTGTGCAAAAGTCTATTACTAGCTGCTGTTATAATTATAAGGTGTGCAGATTAGGGGAAATTGTAAGTTTATATATATATCTGCCGAGGTCTGATTAAGACATCGGCGGTGTGCTGTCTGTGATCCTGTATGTGCTGTTGCTCACAGGATGAGTATGGGGTGCACAATACACTACCACTCACAGGATGAGTATGGGGTGCACAATACACTACCACTCACAGGATGAGTATGGGTGCACAATACACTACCACTCACAGGATGAGTATGGGGTGCACAATACACTACCACTCACAGGATGAGTATGGGGTGCACAATACACTACCACTCACAGGATGAGTATGGGGTGCACAATACACTACCGCTCACAGGATGAGTATGGGGTGCACAATACACTACCACTCACAGGATGAGTATGGGTGCACAATACACTACCCCTCACAGGATGAGTATGGGTGCACAATACACTACCACTCACAGGATGAGTATGGGGTGCACAATACACTACCACTCACAGGATGAGTATGGGGTGCACAATACACTACCCCACACAGGATGAGTATGGGGTGCACAATACACTACCACACACAGGATGAGTATCGGGTGAAGGTAACCGAACATAGTACAGTTATAACCATGTTAGTGTATTTTAGGTTGAGTGTTCTTCGTGATTATTATAATTGATGATGTATCGTTGTGAATGTGTGATGTAGCAGAGTAATGAGTGTGGTTCTCTCTCCCTCCACAGCGCCACGGAGGGCGCCGACAGCAACCCCGCCAGTGAAGGAGAGGAGGAACCGGAGGCCAAGGCTGGCTTCGCCTCAGGTGAGTTCTCTTCAGTGTCTTGACTCTCTAAATGCGCCCGCTCTTATCCCCCGTCTTGCGCGCTACGTCTTTTGCGTGCTCTCCTGGGCTTTCTGGCGGCAACTCGCCAGCCCTTTCTCGTGCCCCCTCTCGCGCGCTCTCCTGGGCTTTCTGGCGGCAACTCGCCAGCCCTTTCTCGCGCGCTCTCCTGGACTCTCCACCCATCCTGGGCCAGGTGCAGGAAGAAATCTATCCCTCCGTCCGCGCCCGTGGAGGAGAGAGAGGTGGGGTGCAAAGAAGGTTGCAGGGTTTTGATTTCAACGACAGCACCTGGAGGGGGTTAGTGCATAGATGGCAGCACTGGGAGGAGTTAGTGCATAGATGGCAGCACTGGGAGGGGTTAGTGCATAGATGGCAGCACTGGGAGGAGTTAGTGCATAGATGGCAGCACTGGGAGGGGTTAGTGCATAGATGGCAGCACTGGGAGGGGTTAGTGCATAGATGGCAGCACTGGGAGAGGTTAGTGCACAGATGACAGCACCGGGAGGGGTTAGTGAACAGATGGCAGCACTGGGAGGGGTTAGCGCGTAGATGGCAGCACTGGGAGGAGTTAGCGCGTAGATGGCCGCACTGGGAGGAGTTAGCGCGTAGATGGCAGCACTGGGAGGAGTTAGCGCGTAGATGGCAGCACTGGGAGGAGTTAGCGCATAGATGGCAGCACTGGGAGGAGTTAGCGCGTAGATGGCAGCACTGGGAGGAGTTAGCGCGTAGATGGCAGCACTGGGAGGAGTTAGCGCGTAGATGGCAGCACTGGGAGGAGTTAGCGCGTAGATGGCAGCACTGGGAGGAGTTAGCGCGTAGATGGCAGCACTGGGAGGAGTTAGCGCGTAGATGGCAGCACTGGGAGGAGTTAGCGCGTAGATGGCAGCACTGGGAGGAGTTAGCGCGTAGATGGCAGCACTGGGAGGAGTTAGCGCGTAGATGGCAGCACTGGGAGGAGTTAGCGCGTAGATGGCAGCACTGGGAGGAGTTAGCGCGTAGATGGCAGCACTGGGAGGAGTTAGCGCGTAGATGGCAGCACTGGGAGGAGTTAGCGCGTAGATGGCAGCACTGGGAGGAGTTAGCGCGTAGATGGCAGCACTGGGAGGAGTTAGCGCGTAGATGGCAGCACTGGGAGGAGTTAGCGCGTAGATGGCAGCACTGGGAGGAGTTAGCGCGTAGATGGCAGCACTGGGAGGAGTTAGCGCGTAGATGGCAGCACTGGGAGGAGTTAGCGCGTAGATGGCAGCACTGGGAGGAGTTAGCGCGTAGATGGCAGCACTGGGAGGAGTTAGCGCGTAGATGGCAGCACTGGGAGGAGTTAGCGCGTAGATGGCAGCACTGGGAGGAGTTAGCGCGTAGATGGCAGCACTGGGAGGAGTTAGCGCGTAGATGGCAGCACTGGGAGGAGTTAGCGCGTAGATGGCAGCACTGGGAGGAGTTAGCGCGTAGATGGCAGCACTGGGAGGAGTTAGCGTGTAGATGGCAGCACTGGGAGGGGGAAAAGAGCATGAATGAGGAGTACCTGGGACACCTGGAGGAGGGGGGAGGGTGATAATATTGCATAAGGATGACGGTACCGGGAGGGGTGTTAGTGGGAGGGGGGGGGGGTAGGGGATGTCTTCCAGGATGACTTTCATCACATAATAATATGCCTAACACGTAACTCGTCCACCAATCAGTGACCAGACCTGCCACGCAGGAATAATGACTAACATGCAACTTTTCCACCAGTCACGGGCCAGCTTCTATGTTTAAAAATTTCACGTTACAAGGAATACTTTTTTCTAATTTGCATTTTTCGTGTTGAAGCCGCACGCACTCTGCGGAACTTTAGAGCGCCTGATATTGTGGAAATTTTGTATTCACTTTTTTGTTATTAACTTGAGACAGTGAGGCAAGTGCGTGAACCTCTTTTAGTCGCTGGTGTTGAAGGGGGGAAGCTTTCCTAGTCGCTGGTGTTGAAGGGGGAAGCTTTCCTAGTCGCTGGTGTTGAAGGGGGTAGCTTTCCTAGTCGCTGGTGTTGAAGGGGGGAAGCTTTCCTAGTCGCTGGTGTTGAAGGGGGGAAGCTTTCCTAGTCGCTGGTGTTGAAGGGGGAAGCTTTCCTAGTCGCTGGTGTTGAAGGGGGAAGCTTTCCTAGTCGCTGGTGTTGAAGGGGGAAGCTTTCCTAGTCGCTGGTGTTGAAGGGGGAAGCTTTCCTAGTCGCTGGTGTTGAAGGGGGGAAGCTTTCCTAGTCGCTGGTGTTGAAGGGGGGAAGCTTTCCTAGTCGCTGGTGTTGAAGGGGGGAAGCTTTCCTAGTCGCTGGTGTTGAAGGGGGAAGCTTTCCTAGTCGCTAGTGTTGAAGGGGGAAGCTTTCCTAGTCGCTGGTGTTGAAGGGGGAAGCTTTCCTAGTCGCTAGTGTTGAAGGGGGAAGCTTTCCTAGTCGCTAGTGTTGAAGGGGGAAGCTTTCCTAGTCGCTGGTGTTGAAGGGGGAACCTTTCCTAGTTGCTGGTGTTGAAGAACAACACCCTCTCTGTTGCTGGTGCTGAAGAACAACACCCTCTCTGTTGGTGGTGCTGAAGAACAACACCCTCTCTGTTGGTGGTGCTGAAGAACAACACCCTCTCTGTTGCTGGTGCTGAAGAACAACACCCTCTCTGTTGGTGGTGCTGAAGAACAACACCCTCTCTGTTGGTGGTGCTGAAGAACAACACCCTCTCTGTTGGTGGTGCTGAAGAACACTTCTTCAATAGCTGTGTGTTTAAGCCACATTTCAAATAACAAGAATTTCGTCTCTACTGATGTTATGTATTATGAAGGTTAGGTTAACCTTCATAAGTGAAGGTTAGGTTAGGGTTGTAAATGGAAGCGTTAGACATAGTTGAGTCACGTGTCGACGAAATGTTCCCCCGTGTTCTCCACTATGTTCCTTACACTGTCATTGTTCAGCTCCCCCTTCCACTCTTGTTTGTTTAGCACCTGTCTCTTTGTAAGTCCTTGTTTCCTGTTACCGTCTCACATTTCCTACTTTGCATTATCTCCTCCTCCTTTCTTTAACCCTTCCACTCTCTTCTCTTACCTTTATTCCTCCTCTTTTCTCCCTCCCTCCTCTCTACCTTTCCTTGGTCTTCCATCTTGCGTGTGGGCCGTGTTTCTCCTCCCTGGTCCACTGTTTACAAGTTTTAATACCTTATTTAATTTTTGCATTATCCTCATCCTTACTGACATTTCTCGTTTCTTGATAAATATTTCACTCTGGTCTCTCTCCTGTTCTTCCAACATGTTCCATTTGCCTTCCACCCACAAACGTGGTCTTTGTCTCTCCTCTCCTTCTTTGTCTCTCCTCTCCTTCTTTGTCTCTCCTCTCCTGCTTTGTCTCTCCTCTCCTTCTTTGTCTCTCCTCATGCTGTCACCCTCGACCTGTGGAATGGCCTTGATCTGGAGGGGAGGGAGGGAGGGCTCTTAAAGAGCTCTAAGAGCTCTTACTTGTGAGGCCAGCAGCACGAGGGACAGGGGGAGGGGGTGGGGGGGGGGGATACTGAGAGGGAAGAGAAAGACGAAATAAGCTTACTAAGTATAACCTTAGAGGTGGAAGAGGAGGGGGAAAATAACGAAGTAGGAATGGAACACAATTAGCAGAGTGTAATATATACGACCAGGATCCTGAGGAAGAAAGGTGATGGGGAGAGGAGGGGAGTGTGGGGGGGGGGGAGTGGCACCTTCTGGCTAGTGTGGAGGGGGGGGGAGTGGCACCTTCTGGCTAGTGTGGAGGCCTGTGGTGAGATGCTCCAGGAAGGTGTGGAAACATTAAGGGTCTGGGTAGGCAGGTAGCATGGCTGGGCAGTCTGCTGATTACTGGTAAATGGCTCTTTGGCCGCCTCCTACACTTTCCCTTATTTTGAGCAATACAGCGAACACTTCCCAGTGACTTAAATCATCTCTAATGGTAAAGATCTGGGTTGAATTGGCATCTACCAGTTCAACGTACTCACTCGAGGAGTACTCCCTTCCGTTCCTTTACATGTGACCTCTGGTCCTACATCTCTTAGGGAATACGGTCCAATATGTGCAGGTGAACTCTCTCTTAACTTGAGTTTATAGCTGAGCCTCTGGCCACAGTTATGACGGTGGTGGTGGTGGTGTTGGCGGCGCCGCGTGTGGTGTGAGCACGCTCCCCACCCTGGCTGCTCCCCTACCATACAGTAATGTACAGGTGGGTGCTGAGGAAATGTGTAAATGTTTAAGAGCTGGTGTAAGTAAGGGGATGTGACAGTAGAGAGGGTGCAGGAGGCAGGTGTGTGAGAGTGTAAGAGGGGAGGCAGGTGTGTGAGAGTGTAAGAGGGGAGGCAGGTGTGTGAGTGTAAGGCAATATATGGCCGGGGGCCGGGAGAGGCCACACTAGGGACACAGCGCCTGGCTAACCAACTACTCCCACAACCCTGCCTCACCTCTCATCTTACCTTACTATTCATTTCTCCCCGTCTCCTTCCTTCCCATCTTGGCTGCCTACCTGGCTGCTTACCTTCCTGGCTGCCTGCTTACCTTCCTGCCTGTCTGGCTGCCTGCCTGTCTGGATGCCTGCCTGCCTGGATGCCTGCCTGCCTGCCTATAGGTAAATAAAATTTGTAAACGGAAAAGTTAAACAGTAAATGAAGAATTACTATTGGTCAAGATTTGCGAAGGAATGTATAATTTTCAGCGGGTGTTTAATGCACGGTGTAGGAAGGGAATAAGAAGGAAAGATGTGTGACAAGAGTGAGCGCTTAATATGGCGTCACTTGTGAACGCGGGTTGCTGGTCAACAGCCAGAGATTGTGAGCAAAATCACAGAAGCTTAGAAGAAAAGCAAAATGGAAATGTAGTATACACAGACTTCGCAAAGGCATTCAACACATGTGACCATGGAGTGGTAGCACACACAATGAGGTCATTGGGAATAACTGGTAAAGTAGGACGTTGGATACTCAGTTTCCTGTCGAACAGAACACAGAGAGTAACAGTCA